TTTGGACATCTTGTCTTAACCCATTAAGAGCAAAATGTGGGTTTTTGGATTCCCGACTAGTACGTTGGCGTATGAGGAGGTACGCTCAGCTTAATGCGAGGGACGAGCATCATAAAGTTGTATATTGCGCATCGTGGTAGAGTACACAGCACATACGTCTCGAGTACGTTGGGCGTACTCCCCAGAGGATCGTTTTTGGGCTTTTGAGGTTTGGTCCATTGTTGGGTTTTCTTAGTTTGGGCCTTGTTGGGCCATTAGACTTCTTTTTGGGCTTCTGGTTGGTATCTTTTGGGCTTATTTGGATGCTAGACCCATAAAGGGTTTTGGGGGCCCAATTTGTTAAATTGGGCCATAGTTGGGCCTTGAGTGATTATGTTGAACTCGGGCCTTAGGCCAAGTATAGGGAAGGGTAAAAAGGTCTTTTACCCTAGTTTGGGCTCGTAGGGTGAGTCAGGATCCAATTATTGATTGGATGATTATTTTGTGATTGATAGCGTAAGGATTTTAGCGGGCCAGCAGCCAAAGATTCTTTCTGTGAAATTCGGCAGAGCGAGCTGAGTCTTCTCACTATGTCTACGGATCGAAGGCACCAAGGCCATCCCATTATCTGGTTATGTAATATGCTAGTTGTTATGTGATAGATGTTTTGATTGGGTTGAAACACACCCCAGGACGGGGCCCAATATGGCATGACGGGTTGAAATACACCCTAGGGCGGGGCCTAATATGGCATGCCGGGTTGAAATACACCACTGGGCGGGGACCAATATGGCTTGATGGGTTGAAATATACCCTAGGCGGGGCCCATTGTGATTTGTTCGGGGTTAAATATACCCCATGGCGAGGACCCAGGGCGGGGCCCATACTTGCTTTTTGGGTTGGAATGAACCCGAGGACTGGGCCCATTTGCATGATAGGTATGTGGTATTTTGGGGAACTAACTAAGCTTTGTGCTTACGGTTTTCAGTTTATGTTTCATGTATTTTTGTTTCCCAAAAGAAGAGCTCGGGATGATTGTAGAGCACACACCACCTTGTTCCGCATTTTCTTGACTTACTCTGATATGATGTGATATTTGACACATTGTTTTATCTGGATTCTTATGATGATGTTTATGGAATACTGTTTTATTAATTTAAAATAAAATTTTTGGGTCTTATTTTTGGGACGTTACAAGTTGGTATCAGAGCCTTCGTTTGAGGGATTTGGACATACTTTCGGGCTGAACTCAAACTGAGGATTTGATAAAGTTTTCAAAAAGAAAAGTATTTTTTTTAGAAAAGAGTTTTCTAAGATAAGAAAGGGTGTGGTGCGTGCAATCAACCGAGCTCAAGTAAGTTTTTCCAAAATACCCATACATGTGATCTGATATGATTTGATTTATGAATCTGTGAATCACATGCAAGTTAGGGCTAAGGATCTGCTCAATGTTTGCATGATAGAATGCTAGGAGAGATGTCTTGTATGCCTATTGTATGAGCTTGTAGTCTTGCATGCTAGTTCAGACCAGTATGTGATGGATTGGCATGATATGTGATGCCTTCTAGTCTAAGGAACATTGGATGCTATGCGGGAATGGGAATATTTGTTGGTATCAGTATTTGCTCAGTGTATGCTTTAAAAATTGTATACCTATTAAATAAGTCTTCTTTTCGGATGAAAAAAAAAATTCCAATTTGTTTTTCAAATACTAAAAAGTTTTAGAAAGAGATACCATTAAATATGCTCAAATAGAAAGTGTATTAGAGTAGGGATGTTATTCGGGTCTGAATCGGACCAAACCGACCCGAAACCTGAATAACCCAAAAACCGAATAAGGGCAATTACATGAACCGAAAACCAGACCAATTAACCAATACGAGTTCGGTTTGGTTTGGTTAATAGTCGGTTTGGTTCGATTATTACCCGAATAACATGTACAAGATGATTAATGACCTAATATAACTGAAAAGAACCAAATAAACTGTATTAGTATTATATAACCCGAATAACCCGATTAATAGAATAACAATGTACTTTTATATATCAACATAAAACATTCAAAGACTAAAATAACACAATAACACATTGAAATAATAAAATTTACATAGTATTATTAGATTAACATAATGAAAATTAATTTCTTACTTGACTTTCTTGAGTTGGAGCCCAATTTTTCATGACTAGACAAAGTAGGAATTCGTGAATCCTTAGAGACCATATGAATGATCGATTTTTGAAAGTCTGAAACAAGAGGCAGGATCGACATGAGTGATTTCGAGTTTGGGAATATTTGAGAAGATTGATCTATTTTGAAACGACGAGAACAAGCGTAGTTTTTTTATGTTGTGAACGACGAAGACAGACGTGTGAATCATGATTTCGATTTCTGTTGATCAGAGAAGGGGACGAGGAATGCTTATTCAGGTCGGGTATTTAGAACCGAATAAACTCTAATTTGGGTAACCCGGACCGAATAACCCGAGAACCGAATAAGCATAATATAGATACCCGAAACCTGAATCAAATTACTTATTCGAGCCTAATTCAGTTTTGTTCGGTTCGGGTTTCCGGACCAAATTCTCATCCCTATATTAGAGTGACTTAAGTTGCAATAATCACTTTTCAGAACATTTTTATAACGTAAATCAAAACGCCCCTAATATTCTATAGGTTTAATAGAAAAGTATAATGTTATTTCTGCAAGTGTTATTATTAATTATTTTTTTGTTAATAATAACTATAAGTGTTTTTGTGGTGTATCCTAGAGATACCCAAAGTAGTTAGAGGTGAACAATATGACTTATGGATTGATTTTGAAAAAGATTGAGATTGTTGCTTAGGACTGATACTATGGGTTCAATTTGGCATTTCAAGCTTCAATCGGTCTTGTCTTGGTCTCAGATTGTCTTAAACCGGTACCGAAAAAATGTGTTAAGTTGGTTGGATCCGATCTAGATCGGTCTTAGCTCGTCTAGACCGGTCCCAACGACTATTTAACAGTCAAAGTTTTAAATATTTTTCACAATTATTTTCCGCATATAAATATAAATATTGTATTGTTTCAAACCATTTTCAACCCCAAACACCTTTCCCTTTTGTTTCATTACATTCTAAGATATTAGCATTATACTTGCAATATACATATAAGCAGTTACTTCGGTTTAATCCAAATGCATTATTCGAATAATGCGATAAAGCTAATTGTACTGCACCGATGAAATAATTTTGTGCAGTTCAAACAAAACAAAAAATATATTTTGGTAGATACAATTAATGTGAAAATTTATATTCGGCTCCAATAGCACGATACATCGACATTGAACCATAAGTTTTTGTAATTCTTATTATCATTTTAAAAGTTTAGTTTATTTATAATTAGTCACTTTAATAGTTTAGTTTATTTATAATCAGGTCATATTTTTTAGTTAGTTGTATTTTAATTAGTTTACTTTGACTATTTTAGTTTATTTTTAATTAGTCACTTTATTATCTAATTTAAGAATTAGTTTTAGTTGTAATACTAGTAGATATAAATCGGAGACTAGTGTCTACAATAATAACGATCAATTTGTGGTTGTTAGATTTTCCAAAAGGTTATATACCGAACGGATTGTGTCTCGCGACTCACTAACTTGACCACACTTTGCTTAGTTGCCAAATCTATTGCTTTTTAATTAATAAGTGAATTAGGTAATACAAGTGATTAATTATAAGTAAACTAAATTTTTTGAATTTGGGTCCGGCGATTTCGGAAGTTCATACCTTCACCGGCGGGTCCAAACGCCGGCAATGTCCTCGGTGGGTAGATTCAACAATTCAGAAGTTTCAAGATTCATTCTTCAAGTCGGATACTAGCCAATTGAAGATCGAATACAAGAATGTGATCAATTTTTACAGATCGCTGGCAGCCTAAGGAATCAGGGTCCAAGAAATCGGGAATCCAACGTTCACAGATGTTCAGGAGTGGGAATTCTGAGTCGAGTAAGAATGTTTCTTCCTTTTATGTAAGTAATTTCCTAGAATATGTATTAAACAGTGATCTATGGCGTATGTGTAATCGACTTGGTAAAGTGGTAGACGTCTTTATTTCCAATAAGAAATCTCGATTGGGAAAACGTTTTGGTTTTATAAGATTTGTGGATGTGACTGATACTGATCGTATGATTAGAGACTTATGTGATATTTGGTTTGGGTATCATAAACTCTTTGCTTCTGTACCAAGATTTTCAAAAAAGTCTAAGTCTCATGCACCCCACAGAAGGGAATTTTAGGGTAAATGAAAAAACTGTTTGCCATTCAGCTACTTATGCAAGTGTCGTAAAAGGAGTTGGGGGTAAAGTACTCTCAAAGAGTAAGGATGAAGTTGTTCAAGTTTCTGCAGGGGACTTTATTGTGGAAAAAAGAAATCGAGCATGCCTCATTAGGGGTAGGGATTTTCTTACGCTGCCTAATCTTCGAATGCTATGTTATGATGAAGGATTTGAGGATTTTAACATCCGTTATGTTGGTGGTTTATGGGTAATGCTTGAATTTAAACATAAAGAGGCATGTAAAAATTTCCTTGCAAGTGATGTTATGGATCATTGGATAGTTGAGAAACGACCATGGGATAGAAACTTTGTGCCTCTAGACCGTTTGATTTGGGTTGATGTGGAAGGCTTACCGCTACGGGCTTGGAGTAAACAAGCTTTCAAAAATATTTTGGCTAAGTGGGGAAATATAGTACATTTGGATGATGATTTGGGGGAAGATGTATATATAAAAAAATTTGTATCCTCTCCTCATTCCAAGAGATTATTTCAGAGGTTGTGACAGTTAGGATCAAGGATCAATTTTTTTTGGTTAGAATTAAGGAAGCACCTAGGTGGACTCCATCTTTTGCATGGGAAAATAATAAGGTGAGTAGTGAAAGGTCCAGTGAGAATGGCAATGGATTGGAAGATCAAGTTGATGATTTACAATGTGATAAGGAAGAGGGGTCATTTGACCCGTTTGGAATTTATGAAACAATAGAAAAAATGAAGGGGGATGAAAGACATGGTAGAGAAGTCAATTCAGGTGTTACACATGAAAAGAGACGGGCTAATGATATTAGCGAAAATCCTATATGTGATGAGGGGCATTTTAGGGATTTACATGAAACAACAAAGGAGCAAAATTCCTTTTCTACAAACAGGTCTCCTGATCAGCTGCATGAGGATGAAGTCTGCAGTGCTACTGTTTGGCATCAGCCACTGAAGGCTGTTCAACCTCCACAACAGTGCCCGGCGGCAACTGTGTCGGTTCCAGCAGGTGCTTCGGCTAGGAAAAGCAATCCGACAGCAGCCCCTGGCCCCTTTCCTGCATCGGCTATGGAATGTCACTTTCATGAATCTAATCAGGGTAGGAAGGCTAAACGTACAGATGCTCCAATTGGATTTTCGGGAGGGTTTGGACGGGTTTCGGGGGTTGTTGACTCAGAAGATGAACTGACCCACCCTCTAGGCTTTTCTAATTGTAATAGATTTGTTGCTTGTTCGGATAATTCGTATAATAAGGGCTCTTTCTTAAGTGAGATTCAAAAAACATTAGAGATGGGAAAGGCAATGGGATACAACTTGGAGGGATGCTATGACCGGGTAAAAGAAATTGTTGAAGGCAACGGAGATAAAATGGTGTTGAGATGAATTGTCTCTCCATCAACATTCAAGGAGCGGGTTGTAAAAATAAACGGAGTTGGGTACGTAGTTTATGTCTTAAACATAAGGTTAATCTGCTAGCTATTCAAGAAACGAAGATGGAGGATATTGATGTTCGTTTGGCTGGGGTAATAATTCTTTTTCTTACGTTTTCTCTCCTTCTCGTGGTGCTTCGGGTGGTATTCTTCTTATTTGGGATTTGGATTCTGTCTCCTTTCAATCCTCCCATATTTCTGATTATTTTACGGTTATCGAGGCAATTTGGTCTTCTTCAGGATTGTCGGTCATGTTTATTGTGGTTTATACTCCGCAAGGGGCTGAACCTAAGAGAACTCTTTGGGGGAAGCTTCTCCAACTTATTTATTCTTTCCAAGGGGAATGTGTGTTGATGGGAGATTTTAACGAGGTTCGTGATGAATCAGAAAGATTTGGTACTCTGTTTAATTCCAATACAGCCAGGAGCTTCAACAATTTTATCGAGCAGGCAGGTTTATTTGAGGTTTCTCTTGGTGGCCCTAGGTTTACATGTAGTGATAAGTGGGGTTCAAATTTTAGTAAGTTGGATAGATTTTTAACAACTCATGGTGTTTTGTATGCCTCTCCTCATTTGACAGGTATGGTCTTGGAAAAGTATATTTCAGATCATAGACCTATTTTGTTATCGGAGCATACAGTTGATTATGGGCTGACTCCCTTCCGTATCTTCTATTATTGGTTCAATTTGGAGGGGTTTGATGATGTTGTCAGAAATTTTTGGTCCCAAAACCAGAATTTACTCAGGGATTCACATCCTTGGGTTAAATTTAAAAAGAAGCTTCAACTTCTTAAGACAAATATTCGTGTTTGGAACACTTCTACGAGGCTCAAACTGGATGCTAAATGCAAGGAGCTCCAAAATGTGTTAGAATCTATTGATTCTCGCCTTATGACTGACGGGGGGATGCCTCTTTACGGGAGTAACGAGTGAAAATTCTTAAGAATATCACGGATTTAGATCATGTTACGAACTTGGAGTTAGCCCAAAAAGCACAAGTCAAGTGGGGAATTGAAGGTGATGAAAACTCGGGTTTTTTTTCATGGGGTCATAAATAATGAGAGAAGACAAATGGCTATTAGAGGTGTTTTGAAGGACGGATGCTGGATTGATGACCCAAATTCGGTTAAGGAGGAATTTCGTGGCCATTTTCAGATTCTTTTCTCTAAACAAGACGGTACGCGACCCCGAATTCAGGATTCCCAATTTTCTCATTTATCGTCTGATCAGATTCAGTTGCTTCATGCTCCCTTCACTCGGGAGGAAATAAAAAAAGGCAATGTGGGACTCAGGTTCTTCAAAACCTCCAGGCCCTGATGGTTTCACTTTTGGTTTTATAAAACGGTATTGGGAGATTGTTCAGGATGACATTTTTGACATGGTCTCTCATTTTCATACGCATTCGTCGATTCCTAAGGGTTGTAATGCGTCATATTTCACTATGATTCCTAAAATTAGAGACCCGAAGGTTGTAAAAGATTATAGACCTATTAGCTTGATTGGGTGTCGGTACAAGATTATTGGTAAAATTCTTGCTAATAGGTTGGCTGAGGTTATTGATAGTCTGGTTAGTGTGGAGCAATCGACGTTTATAAAAGGCAGACAAATTCCAGATGGTGCGTTTCTTCTCAATGAAATTGTAGCTTGGAGTAAAGCCTCTAAGAATCCTCTTTTGATGTTTAAAGTGGATTTTGAAAAGGTTTATGATTCTTTATCATGGGAATATTTGATCGAAATCATGCAAATCATGGGGTTTAGTTCTTTGTGGTGTAATTGGATTTTGGAGATGATGTCTTCTGCTACTATCTCGGTCCTGGTGAATGGTTCTCCATCTCGGGAATTTCATATGTTCAGAGGTTTGAGACAGGGAGATCCCCTATCTCCTTTTCTTTTCGTGTTGGCTATGGAGGGTTTACACGTGGCCCTTGCTAGGGCTCAGTTAGCTAATGTCTATAGGAGATTCAAGATTGGAGGAATCACCATTTCCCATCTTCTTTATGCCGATGATGTTGTTCTCTTGGCTGATTGGAATCAGGAAAATGCTCTCCATATTGTTCGTATTCTGCGATGTTTCTTTCTAGCCTCGGGTCTGAAAATCAATCTTCTCAAAAGAAAGTTGTATGGAGTGGGGGTCACGGCTGATCAAGTTTCGTCTATGGCTAATTGTATGGGGTGTTCGCCGGGCTGCTTTCCGTTTTCTCACCTGGGGGTTCCGGTTGGACAGAATATGGCTAGAACTGATTCCTGAGGTCCTATTGTTGATTCTTTCCGGAAAAGATTGGCGGATTGGAAAGCCAAATGTCTTTGTTTTGGGGGACGGATGACTCTAGTTAAAGAAGTTTTGGGGTCGGTTGCTAGTTATTTGATGTCTATTTATCTGGTGCCTCTTACAGTGATAAAGGATTTGGAGAGATTGAGATCAGTGTTTTTTTGGGGTGCTGATTTGGATGATGGTCGTATGTATTGGGTTCGGTGGGATAAAATCCTAGCCCCGAAAGAGGTTGGAGGTTTGGGAATTGGTAGTCTTTTTGCCTTTAACATGGCTTTATTATTACGTTGGAAGTGGAGGTTTTTCCATAAACCTAATTTATTATGGGTGAGGGTGGTCAAAAGCATCTATGGTTTGGGGGATAATTATAGTTTTTTGATTCCAAGGAGACAGTTGATGGGTCCTTGGAATGGTATTATGAGGATAGTAAATAATCTTAAGGATAGGGGTTTTGATTTCCATAATCTTGCTCCTATTAGAATTGGTGATGGGGTGTACACGTTCTTTTGGCATGATAAGTGGCAAGGAAATAATCCTCTTTCGATTTCTTTTCATCGCATCTTTGCTTTGGATATGAACTGTTCAACTAATGTCAGGGATCAGTTTTTAAGTGGGTGGAATACGGATAATCTTAGACGTATGCCTAGAGGTGGGATTGAAGAAACTCAATGGATTTCCTTTCTTGGAAGTGGTACAGGGGGTTCAGCTCCAACAGGTCCCAGATAGATTGGGTTGGTCTCTTGATAGCTCAGATTCTTTTTCTGTTTCTTCTGTAAGGTATGCGTTGGATAGTGGTTTGGTGCCTTCGGGGTACAAGGCTACTCGGTGGAATAATTGGGTTCCTATTAAGCTTAATATTCTACTTTGGAGAATTCAGCTTTCTAGTATTCCTATGAGGGAGAGATTATCGATTAGAGGTGTTATGGTCCAATCTATCATGTGCCCAATTTGCATGGTTGCAGCCGAGACTATAGACCACCATTTTTGTGCATATTTTTAAAATTGTCAAATACGCCATTAAATTTGGTGCAAGCCGCTCGAAGGTCACGCCATTTTGCAATGACCGAGTCTGTCACACCCCCGAAACTGATGGCGGAAACGTTCCGGGGCGGACTCCACGTTAAGTATCACAACCAATGTACATAGCAAGCATAGTAAACACAACCATTACATTACATAGAAAAAGTTACATTTGTTTAAAAGTAAAACAATACATGTTTCATAGACACATTAGTTTGAACAAAAGTAAAGATGAGACTTCTATATGCCCCGTCTTCTCCAAAATGTAACTGGATACCTGTCTAACGAGAACCTGAGAATACAAGCAGTTTTAAAATATCAGCATAAAGCTGGTGAGTTCATAAGCATGTTTTGTAAGAAAAACCGGTTATTTAATCCTGTGATAAATAATTCATTTCCTGTAATATCGAAAGCCATTGTTACTGAGTTATGAAATACGTAAGCATGTTTTCCCAGAAAATCCCATATTTTCTTATAAGTACAGTTGAGTTATCCGTTTAGTTACTCGGTCTAGTTAATAAGATTGAAACCATGGGATTACCATCCCGTACTAGATATAGATTGAAAACCATGGGAATACCATCCTGTATTAGACATAGATTGAAAACCATGGGAATACCATCCCGTACCAGATATAGATTAAAAACCATGGGAATACCATCCCGTATTAGATATAGATTGAAAACCATGGGAATACCATCCCGTACTAGATATAGATTGAAAACCATGGGAATACCATCCCGTACCAGATATAGATTGAAAACCATGGGAATACCATCCCGTACCAGATATAGATTGAAAACCATGGGAATACCATCCCGTACCAGATATAGATTGAAAACCATGGGAATACCATCCCGTACGAAAGTAGGTAGTTTTAATACATAAAACTATAGAAGAAAGAAAGATATAAATAGATGAATCCGTGACCATAGTTAGTTTGTTTAATACGTATTATGAGTCGGATAACCATACTGATATGACATTAGACCTCCTTGACGTTCTTCAGGCGTCGTACGATTTCCAAAATTTGTCACCCCAGGCGTGCCCGCCTAACTGTAGCTAGCAGTTTAGGTGTGGGATTGTCAGTCCCGAATAGATCTATCCACAAATTTCACGTTCTCCCTCCAGGAGACTCTGGTTATACTTCCGGAGAGGTTCTATTTGTACCCCGAAGGGCATAACGAAGATAGTCTCACAAGCTAGTATTAACTAATTCACGGAGTAGTTTGTCGTTATCGTATTTCGAAATCGTTTGGAACATAATAGAGTATAAATAGTTAAATCAACATAATTATTTAGCATGATACTCTAAATTAGACATGGATAAACTAAATCAACATAGTTTATATATATTTGTTTTGCATGAAATCTGAATTTGTAAAGCAAGTAGTAAAGATCCCAAATTATTCCCATAATAATTTGCATGTTTTGATAAGTTTCTTTGTTGTTTCGAAAACCATGTAAATATATTCAGAAAAACATCCCTTATGCTCCGCATATTACAAAAGGGATACAGTATCTATAGTTTATCAGAAATTCGTATAATTACATCAGTTTTAAGTTATGAAAACCTTTATGATTTGCTTGTATTCCCCCCCCTGAAAACATTGAAAAACACGGAAAAAGGTGTAGGGGTATGAACTCACAGTTTGTCGTAGGATC